TGCTGACTCTACTGCTTGAAAAATTTGTTTACTGCCCCCCAGATTTTTAGTGAGTAATGCAGAAAATATCAAAATTAATTTTAGCTCCCTGAGCCAGATGTGTACTTGAAATTTTCACCCACAAAGTAAATAACTTAATAATAAGCTCTGATTTCTTGAAGCTGACTTAATGAACTCCTAATATCAGGAAATTTAGGGCCTAAAGGCGCTGAAGTAACTGCAGACTCAGATGAGATCCGAGGGAATTACTCATCTGCTAGCAGTGAAGCTATTCTTGTACATAAGGGTGAAGCTAAGAACAGAGTTAAGTCTTTTTCTAAGGATGTTACCTTGGATAAACAGTATACATTTATTAGGAAATTAACTACGTGAATTGAAGAGACCAGACTTCAAAATCTAATCTTGATAAATATACTCGATGCTCTCATTGGCTAAAACTGGCTATTAACCAATTTTCCAGAACAGCTGTACAAAATTTCTGCATGGCAGCCAGCTAAATGGTACAAAATAACATGTTTAAGCTGGAATAGCTTATAATTTTATCTAAATATAATTGCTGCTATAAAAAGTGCTTCCCCAAAGCTAAGGAAAATATACAAATATTTTAATTAAGGCAAATTTATCTTAAAAAAATACACCTTTCAGCAGTGATTGTAAACAAAGGATGGATGAGTTCAGAGGAGCGCGCCTTCAACGCAAGGCTGACATTTCAGGCCCATGTCACCCTATAAACCCGCCCTGAGCAATTCTATTTTCTATTGGAAAAGAGAAACCAGCTGTGGGGTGGCTTTACTAGGTGACGTGTGATTGACTGACTCACCTGCCGGAGCCGGGCTCGCACTCTCACCTTTTGTTTATGGGGCCTTGTCTCTGAACACGTGGATGCGCAGGCCGAGCGGGGGCGCCGCCGCCCCCAGCCAGCTCCCGCGGCGCCCTCCGCGCCCACCCCCGCCCCATAGGTGGGATTGTTTAAATTTCCCATGTTGACCCTGTGGCAATTCTTCAGCCGCAGAAATAGCCTACGCTAGTGAAGTCATTCTTTTTTGATGGGTGGTTACTAGCAGTTAACAGCCATTTATTTACTTTTAAAAATAATAATAAACTTTATAAACTAACCGTTCCTTTGCCCCTCCTCCCCAGTCCATGCCCGGGTGAGTTGGTTATTTTCAGCCTTTATTTTTAAGGAGGCGCTCGCCGAATGGGGGAGGGACAGACAGAGGGGAGTGGGGGCGGGGGGCAGCTGGTGGGGAGGGAGGGGCGGGCGCTAGGGTCGGGGGGCGGTCCAAGTGCAGGGGCGTTAGGGAATATGGAGACTATAAAGACCCGCAGGCACTGATGCCCAGGAGCTGGGGGGGACCCCACGGCTGGAGCTTCCACGCTTCCCCCCGCGCCGTACGCGAGGGCCTCGCCGCGGTTTCTTTCTTCCCGGGCTTCAGCACCCGCCCCCCTGAATGCTATTTCAGCTTTTCCTCTTGTAAATTTCAGAGCCAGCTCCGAGGTTATTGAGGACACTTATCCGAAGCAGGGAAATAATAGAGGTGCTGAGAGTGTTTTTGATGTTTCTTAAAAGGCAAAAACAAAACGCCCTCCTCTAAACAAGGGCACTCAATTGTACCTGCTTTTTATTTTTATTTGGGGAAGGGAGGTTGGGGGGTGGGGTGGGGGGGCTGGCCGGAGGAGACGACCTCTTAGCACGATTTAAACATTTTTTTAAAAAAATAAAAAATATTTTACCGTATCATATTTAATCAGCTGTAATTATAACACATTCAAAATGAATAATATGCCTTGACAGTATTTTTATTGTTATTGTTCATTGCATGATGTTCGACTGCTTTAGAAGCACAGGAAAGAGAAGTAAACGCGCTACAAATGGGGAATTACCCTCGTTTAGCATTAAAATTCATTTAGATAAAATTGCCACAAACATTTAAATGGGAAGATTAGTTCCCCCTCACGCCTTATTGCACTCGCTCAATGGTTCCGTTAAGAACATTTTACACGTTGGAAATTCCGTCTTCTCAGACGGCTTGCTGTTTCCTAGTTACCCACATTCAAAGCAAAGGCAGCAGCAAAGGCAGCCGCGGCAGCAGCAGGGAAAAAAAAAAAAAAAGTTTTGGCAACTGCTCGGCAATTCATCCGCGGGCCGCCCGGCTCCCCCCGCCCCCGCCGCCTTCCCCTCCATTATGTAATTTGCGGAGCCCTGTCCTCGAGGAAACAAGTTGCTTAGTGACATAGGATTTCTCCGTTACTGTTAAATTACAAAGAAATATCGGAAAGCCGGCGCTGCCGCCGCCTCTGCTCGGATCCGGGGCTGGGTCTGCAAGCGCTCAGTGTCCCCCGTCTGCGGAACCCCAGGCCACAAGGCGCATGATTGGACTTTCTCTCCTGCCAGGACTTTTCCCGGAAACTCGCCGCCGCTTCTGGCTCGTGCTGCACGGGAAACGTGTGCGAGAATGAGTTTGAAAAGTGCGTGCAGCGCCCGGTGTCTCCCTCCCCTCCCCCTGCCCGCCCTCCCCGCCCCCGCCCTGCGCAGCGCCGCCGAGGAGGAAAGTCAGCTTCGACTGCCACCTTTTGGGGATTTGGAAAAATGACTCGGTAGGACCCGCAGGGAGGCGGAGGCGGAGGCGCGCGGGGTGGGGGGAACCCCCTGATTATCCTGTGTCGGAACTGGCTCCCTTAATCTGATGCTTAAATATTTGATGTGGAAAAATTACCCATAAAATTAGTTACTAACAATTTCAAATTGAAATCACTTATCGAATTATAAACGCATTAAAGCTGTATGGATGGTATTAGAAGTTTCTCGGGAGGCGGCGGGTGTCTCCTTTGCAGGGAGCGGGGCCCACAGGGTTCGCCCCGGGGAGAGAGGCGCCCTCCGCCGAGCCCGGGGGGTGGGCTGGGCTGGGGGAGGGTAGCCCCGGGAGGGCGGCGCGGGGCCGGGTGTGCGGCTCCGGCTCGCTCGGCCCGCGGGGGCGGGGAGGTGGGCGGGCAACAGCGGCGGTGCGAGGCTGCGACCCCGGGGCCCAGGCGCCTACCGGGAAACTTCGCCCTGAAGTCCAAAGGCTCGGAGAAGGAAAACAAGCCCTCGCCACCCCTCTACCCCGCCCCGCGCGCGGCTCCCACGCGGCGCGCAGACTTGGCGAGCCGGGCTCCTGGCGTGGGCGGCGCCCTCCAGGTCCGCGGGCCGGAGGGAAGATGCCTGTAATCCCGGGCCGGGCCGGGCCGTGCGACTGCAGGGAGCATCCCGCGGGCAGCTGCGCGGAGCTCCGGCCCGGACGCAGCTACCCCTGGGTCCCGTAGTGCACAGGGTCCGGCCTGGGCCCAGTGCGTGGATCGACGAGACCCTGCCCTGGGCCCAGAGCACGGAGGGGCTGCTCAGGCGCCTGCAGTAGCCTCCCACGTCTTGCTCACTCCCGACCTGAAAGTCGAGCTGGGACGCGGTCGGTTTTGTGTCTGGACGCCGGAAAGGCCGGGGTCTGCACGGAAAGGTGTGGAGAGACACCTCCAAGGGGGTGTCTTTCCCTCGGAAGCGCTCGGGGTGCTTTGTGCTGGACTCTGCCACGTCTGTCCGGATTCCCGAGGCCCACGCAGGCCCTGGGAGCGTGCTCCTGAGAGCCTGGGCACCGGAGGGCACCTGGAGCTCGGGCAGGGCCCCTGGGGCGGGGGCGAGTGGGGGGAGCCGCAGCAGAGAGCTCTGGGCCTCTCCCGGGCGCTTTAGGCCCGAACTCCCTCGGCGCACTTGCAAAGCTCCGCTAACTTTCCCCTCCTTTGGGATCCCGGCAGCCCCTCGCGGAGCTCCGGGGTAGGCGTTTGCACGCCATAGGAGAACCTGGAACAGGATAGAGGGGGCGCTCCGCCTGGCCGGGCGTTCTCCCTGCACTCACTCCCTTCTCCGGTGACGCCGCGCACGCCTGGCTGCTCGGCGTCCCGAAGCCCTTAGGGTGGCCACGGTGCACCCTCTCCACGAGGCTGGGAATCCCAGGGCCCAGCAAGGGGCAGGGAGGGAGGGAGGGTGGGGGGCCGGGGCCCGAGCTGGGGGCTGCCGGAAGGGCGGGGGAGGTCCCCTTTCCGCGCGATCCGCCAGCCAGCGCGTCTGAAACATTCTCTCCCAAGGCGGAGCTGAAAGGAAAAACAAACAACATATTGAGCAATCAGTTCGCCAATGTTTGAGCTTTAAAGCGTCTTTGCCCTAAAAAATGATACCCCGGGGGTCTCGGTAGGGACGTAGGGGAACGTGTTGAGGGCCTTGGCCCCGGCTGGCCGCGTCCCCGGGTCGCCCCTCCGCGCGCTGCCTGCCGCCCTCCCGGCGCGCTCGACCCAGGACGGGGAAACCCTGCCGGTAAAGCCCCGGAGGGAAAGGATTTACTTTTAAGCCAGTCTCCCATCGATCGGGTCGGTAATTCTTACCCCTGCCCACTCGCAGACACACTCACCTCTACCCTAAAGCATTAAGTTCATTACGCGAGCAATGATCTTAATCTCCAGGCGGAAAATGAGTCCCGGGACCTCGCGGATTGGGGAAGCAGTGAATAAAGTCACCTGCTTCCCGCCCGCCGGTCCGCTCTTGAGGCGGGTCCCACCTTGTGGCAGGGCGCGCCGCGCGGGGGTCCCCAGCTCCACGCCAAGGCGTGCCCGGCAGGGGTCAGGAGCCCTGTGTGCGCTCTCTCCGGGTTAGCGACCTCCTGGAAGGGGTGGGATTGTGCCGGCCCGCTCTCCCCCTCCCCTCCCATCTGCCTTTCCTCCTAGGCCTGCCTGGCACCTCGACACGTTCTTCCTCCCCCTCGCCCCAAAGTGACAGGATCCTGAGCCTCTTGCCTCCCTCCAGCCCCTGACAGCCGCGGGTATCCTCGCATCGCTGGTTCGCGTCTCTGTACCTCACCCACCTCTCTGGGCATGGGTGTCTGTGCGGGGGGGGGTGGAAGCGGGGGCGGCTGCTCACCGGGGCCCTCTTAAAGCCACTTGGAAGGTACCCCGGGGTTTCAAAAAAAAAAAAAAAG